TAACAGAGCTAATAACAAAGATCTAAGAGAGAGACAAAGAATTGGAACAAAGTATGATAGGTGCAATTATATTGATATTAATGACAATTATACTCATCACTTCCCATGTGTGAGGCATTGTTCTAAGGTTCTAAAAAGTGTACATTCCATTTAGCGTTCACCACAACAGCTTTGTCAGGTAATTACTATTGTCCCCATTTTGACAGAAAAGGAAATAGAAATAGAAATATTAAATTCTTTGAAGCAAGTAACAGGATGGTGAAGATGGGATTCAAACATAGGCATTCTGACTCCAAAGCCCATTCTTTGAATCACCTGGTTTCTGTCTGCACTTATACAAGTAGCAGACCCAAAGGCATTTAATGGAGGAAGAGGCCATGATTGTAAAGTCTTACTGCAACATAAATATTTGTATTCATCCAAACAAAAAACATTTACCTGCTTCCCATATGCCCAGCATGTTTCTAGATGCTGTGAGAGACACACAAAAAAAGTTGAAGAAATGATTCCCATACTCAAAGAACTTACAATTGAAGTTAAAAATATCAATACTCACTTTAAACAGCAATAAATCAACCAAAGTGTGATTTCAGAGTAAAACTACCATAGAGAGTTGAAGTAGAGAAAATTCTCTAAGATTTCTAATGTGCTTGACAGCTTTGGTCAACAAATGCAATGATCATCCATGCAGTTTAGCAGAAACATAGAGACCTTCACTTCAGGGACCTATCTCGGATCTTCAGACTACTAAGTGCCACAATTTAGCAAATAGGACTTTATGAACAGTTCTTATTCCATCTTATTTTCCTTTTTAAAATTAACTTTTCAGACCTAAATAATAATCACCTGTACTACCACCTAACGGAGAAAATAAAATGTAAAGCTGATTATACATCTCTAACCTCATTATTTTTCTTATATCTTCTTCAGCCCTACCCTCTGTTAACAATACTCAGGACTGCAATGTTTTTACTCCTGTATGTGTGTTGTCCTTATAACTTAATATATACATATGTATAGTTTCTTTGTATTGTTAGTATAGTTAGTAATGTTTCATTGGCTTGTTTTTTTTTTTTTTTTTTGAGATGGAGTCTCGCTCTGTTGCCCAGGCTGGAGTGCAGTGGTACAATCTCTGCTCACTGCAACCTCTGCTTCACAGGTTCATATCCTGCCTCAGCCTCCAAGTAGCTTGAATTACAGGCATGCACCATCACCACCATTCATGCCCAGCTACTTTTATATTTTCAGTAGAGTCGAAGTTTCACCTTGTTGGCCAGGCTGGTCAACTACTGATCTCTAGTGATCCACCTGCCTCAGCCTCCCAAAGTGCTGGGTTTACAGGCATGAGCCACCATGCCCAGCCTGTTTTGTAGGTTTTGATTGAATATCAAGGGTATCTTCTTATATGTCTCTTTTCACAACTTCCTCCTCAATCTTTTAATGATATATGCAGATCTGTTGATAAACATTTACTATTGTTTTTAATTTCTAAACAACTGAAAAAAAAATTACAGTGAATATTTGTATATGTATTCAGTGCATACATGTAAAATTTTCTCTGGAAATCTAAGGTATGTGTATGTATGGAATCGTTGAGTGGAAGAGCATGTGTGTATTCAATAACACGTGTCAAAAAGCCCTTCAAAGTGCTTGTGCCAATTTCAATTCCCCTAAGAACTATCTGAGAATCCTACTGTTCTACATCTTCAATGCTTAATAATTTTTTAATGTTACCAAAGATAAATTTTTATTCACATGAGTATTAATTATATATCTTGCTTAATATAATTTCCTTAAGTATCTCATAAAGTTGAGAACATTTTTATGCTATTAGCCAATGGCTTTCCTCTTTTGTGCAATGCATATTCCTACCCTTCACTCATTTTCCCATCGTATTGTTTGCTTTTTGGTATTATTCTATGGACGTTATTTGTAAGTTCTGAATACAAATTCTACAGTAATAAAATGTCTAACATGTATATTTTACAGTGTATTAGTTAATCCTGACTTTTGGTCATTTATTTACATTTTAGAGTCATCTTTCAAATATAATGAGGGGGAGGTGAACTTATATTTATTGAACTTAAATTAGCTTCATAGATTAATGAGAGATAATTAACATTTTTACAAAATCGAATCGGTTTCTATGAACATGAGATCGCTTTCCATATGTTGAGAACTTTTTTTCATATATTTTAATATTTTAAGAATGTTTTAAAATGTTCTAAGAGCTTTGCATATTTTTTGTTGTTTTTATTCCTAAGTATTTGATTTCTTTTATAGATATTTTATATCAAATATCTCAACCCTTCTTTGACTGAAGTAAAGAAATACATTATTGATTTTAAAAATTCATCATATAAGAAGCAAATTTGCTATACTCTCCTATAGTTCTAATAATGTATAGGTCTTGAAATATCTATGCAGAAAATCACATACTTGAATTAAAACAAATATGATTCTATTTTTCCAATCTGTATATTTTAACTTATTTCCTCTAATTTACTGTGCATTCTAGAGTCACCAATGCTGTGTTGAATTGAGCAGTGATTTTAAAAGAAATGATTCTATGGTTTCACTATTATATGTTACTTGTAGTAGGTTTGGGTAGACATTTTTTATCTGTCTAAATAAGTCCCCTTCTAGTCCATATATCTGAGATTCACTTATTACTGAATCTTTTTATTCTTCATCAAATATGATTATATATATTGCATCCATTAATATGTTACCGTAAGAATTGCATTTGTAGGTTTTCTGATGTTTAACTCCATTTGCATTTCCACTATAAACTCAGATTCGTCATAATATGTAACTGCTTTAATTTTAATTTAATATTTTGAAAACTTCTTTTAATTGGAAATCTTATCTTTCTCTATTTTTTGTCTAAACATAAATAATGCTTTTTTAAAAAGCTGTCCACTGTAGGAGAATCATTTATGAAAAATTTTGGTACATCCAAAAATGAGAATACTACATAGCAGTTAATGACTATATAAGTCACATATACTAACAGTGAAAAGCTGTTCATAGTGAAGTGATAGAAGCATATAATAAAACAGTATAAATAGTATCTTTTTGTAGTTTAAAATGTTCATAAACATATTCATTGAAACAAGCATATACACAACAACCTTGAAAAAGATTAAGTGCTTATTTCTAGAAAGTGGTATTTGAGATAATCTATTTAATTCTTACATGTTTTGGGGGTTTTTTTTTAGCGTTTTAAAAAATTTTTTTACTTTAAGTCCTGGGAAACATGTGCAAACTGCAAGTTTATCACATAGGTATACATGTGCCATGGTGGTTTGCTACACCCATCAACCCATCATCTAGGTTTTAAGCCCCACATGCATTAGATATTTGTCCTCATGCTCTCCCTCCCCTCCTCCCCACCCTCTGACAGGCCCCAGTGTGTGATGTTTCCCTCTTTGTGTCCATGTGTTCTCATTTCTTTACATGCTTTTTGATCCTTTTTATATAGTTACAATATTATTTTAATTATCAGAAAACATAATAATTTTACAAAACTGACAATAATAAGTTGATTACCACTAACTGTGCAGCTAAAACATTATAGACATTGGACTAGCAATTTGGTTTCCCTAGTACTAAACTTTGATCACTCAAAAGAAAAGAAAAACTGGTACTTGATTAACAGTTGTTAGACACCACATGTTAGTATTTCTTCAGTTTTGAGTAAAGGCTTACTGTTATATTAATGACATTGAACAGAGGTTATAACTTACCTGAAAACGGGATGATTTTTTTTTTTTTTTGCTCCATTCACTTGAACCAATATTTAACAATTAAGAAATCTCAGTTAAGTGTAGCCTTACATATCGTATTGGATATTGTAAATGACAAGCTTGCAAAAATAAATAGATAAGCGCAAGATAGAAAGAAAAAGACAGACAAGGGGGAGGGGTGTAAATACAATTTTATGCAAAACTAGTGGCTTGTCATAAATCCTGAATTTTGAAATCATGATTTTAAATTGTTGCTATGAGTCTTACTGCAGATGCAGATGGTAAGAGATATCCTCTGAAAAAGCTGATTACACTATATGGTGCATAGAGAACTGATGAGAAAAAACAAGACTCAAGTTTTCTCAGCTTTATGATAAACGTTTTGGTATTTTTGCTTATACATTAGATTGCAAGTCCTCTGTGGATGAAAAAATATATTAAAGTGTACTTTTACATTTCCAGAGATCACTTTAGGTAACCTAAAAATTCTTATCTCAAAAAAGAAAACTCAGACTGACAACTTTTCTCATTCTTTGAAATGCCTTTCCCAGCACATCTGAACTAATGACTAAAAAGGCTTGGAGCACTGGGCTTCTCCCAATGGGCAATCAAGGTGTAACGCCCTTCTTTTCTTGTTTCTGAGAGAACGGCATTGTTCCTTTTTTGTGAGCCAGATATCTAAAATCTTTAGGGAGTTTAACAGTTTTGAGCAAGAGGGCTTAGACTGTGATCTACTTTCTATTGAAGAGAAAACAAATAGGCCCACATTTTGGATGCTTCAGAAACACCCAGAAAACATGTTATATATGTATATATAACATGTTTTATATATATATATATATATATATATATATACACACACACATGAAACATATTTATATGCATATATATAAAACATGTTATATGTATATATAAAAACGTTTTATTTATATATATATATATATATATATATATAGAGAGAGAGAGAGAGAGAGAGAGAGAGTACTTTATGTTCTGGGGTACATGTGCAGAACGTACAGGTTTGTTACATAGGTATACATGTGCCATGGTGATTTGCTGCATCCATCACCCCGTCATCTAAATTAGGTATTTCTATTTCTCCTAATGCTATCCCTCCCCTAGTCCCCGACCTCCTGACAGGCCCTGGCATGTGATATTCCCTTCCCTGTACCCATGCATTCTCATTGTTCAACTCCCACTTATGAGTGAGAACTTGCAGTTTTTGATTTTCTGTTCTTGTGTTTGTTTTAGATACACAGACCAATGGAACAGAACAGAGGCCTCAGATATAACACCACACATCTACACCATCTGATCTTGGACAAACGTGACAAAAACAAGCCATGGTGAAAAGATTCCCTATTTAATAAATGGTGTTGAGAAAACTGGCTAGCCATACGCAGAAAGCTGAAACTGGATCCCTTCCTTACACCTTATACAAAAATTAACTCACGATGGATTAAAGACTTAAATGTAAGACCTAAAACCATAAAAACCTTAGAATAAAACCTAGGCAATAACATTGAAGACATAGGCATGGTCAAGAATATTTTATTGGCCCTGACATATGGTCTCTGGATAGATGTTTGACCAGACTATGGCTCCAGGAAGATTGGTACACTCGAGTAATTCACATCTGAGAAGTTTCTCTGTTGCAATGTGCACACTGTATTCTTCTAAGGCACCTGCAACACCACGTGACTCCACTCTGCTTGTGCGGCAGACACACAATCCATCCACTCACAAGTGTTCTTCATGGTTTTCAGCCATCTGCTCAAGTGAGCACTAAGCACCCCACTACTGTTGTTCTGGACAAAAAGCAGAGCTGTTTTTAGCATTTAATATTGCAAATATTAAGGTAGATGTGATTTATTTCTTCTCTCTATCTGACTTCCTGAATTTCAATTTCATTTGTCTATAGCTCATATTTGCCAGGTATCATACATTTTTTATTTTTAATATTTCAGTATGGCTGATACTCATTTTCCTGTCACTGCAATCAGAAACCATGAGCTGCACTTGTTTCTCCCTTACCATTCATAAAATGAGACTGAGGTTAGACCTATTGCGAGGTACCCAGCTTTCTGGGGACTAGGTTTAAGTCTTCTTATTCAGTAATGTTTAACAAATATTTGTGTGGTACCCACAGTATGCTAGCAACATATTTTTTCTTATTATTTACAATCCTGAGAGCAAGTGGTATGTCTGTTTTTACAAGGTATAAGACTGAAATTTAGGCAAGCAAATGATTTTCATAAGTTCTATAACTACGAGAAAGCAAAATTTGAATATAAAAATCTCTCAAAAGTTCATGTTGCCAATACATTAAATGACTCAGTAAACAAAAGGAAACAGATGTTGACTAACCAATTCCTGCCAAAGCGATGTCGATATTTCTTCAAAAGGTATCTTTATTTAAATCTTAACACTGGTAGCTAAATGGGTAGGATGCCAGTGTAAATTCCTAGATATTTTTCAAGGCATCTCTTCTTGTATGCCTCTTGTAGCTCATAAAGAATCTTTAATATAAGTTGAATTGTAAATTTAAAATGAATTTAAAATTTTAAAACCATTATCTTTAAAAAGTGGAATGAATGTTAAAGTCACACGAGCCAAAGTTTTACAGATAGGTTAGTACTAGGTTACCTTGGGGTGCAGTAATCTTAACAGCAAAGGTATATTTCATGAGAGTAATATCAAACAGAACCTATAATCATTGATTTAAGCAGAAATGCAATATACAGAAAAGAATCCTGCTCAACGATAAGGTTTCGGTCATCAACTCATTGATTATATATTGAGTGCTTACCATTGCCCATATATAAATCTAGTTTACAGGGCAAGTCGAGGAACACATATACTGGGTCCTGCTACCATGACATTTGGACTTTAGAAGAGGAAGATAAGAGGCCAAATAAATAAATACATTAAAGAACCAACATCAGGTTCTTACATGGACAATGATGAAAATGTATCAGAATGAGGCTGTGAAGGTGTTTCAGGGGCTCTGTTAGCTCTGTGTTGTAAAGCCACGGTTTTACAGATAATTGTACTACATTACCTTGGGGTGCAGTAATCTTCACAGCAAAATTATATTTCATGGGAGTAGTATCAGACAGAACCTATACAATGATTTCAGAGGATTGCAACATACCCAAAGAATCCTGCCCAAGGATAGTCTTTCAGACATTCATTCATTGATTATATATTGAGTGCTTACCATTGCCCAGGTAGAAATCTAATTTACAGGGCAGGTCCATGAACACATATATTGGGTCCTTTAGATTTTAGAAGAGGAAGGTAAGAGGCTAAATGAACAAATACATTAAAGAGCCAATATCAGGTTCTTACATGGACAATGATGAAAATACATCAGATTGAGGCAGTGAAGAGTATTTCAAGGGCTCTGTTAGCTTGTGTTGTCAATCTGAAGATGATGTCAATCTTTAACATCATCCATGGCCAAAATAATAGAAAGTATGTCAAGAATCTCTACTATGAAATGGTCATTAACAGAATTTTATTATTTGTTAGAAAGGAAAGAAGACAATGAGAGAAACACTTGAGCAAGCAGCAGTGGTCATGAATGTGCTTTTTGTCTAGATGGGATCTTTTACAATTGTTTTTATGTAGGGAAACATAATGTCTTAAAGTTGAACATGTTCAAGTCAAGTTGAAAAGATTCTCAAACTTTTAGTTTAAAAAAATATCTTGGCTGGGTGCGGTGGCTCACAACTGTAATCCCAGAATTTCAGGAGAGTGAGGAGGGCAGATTGCTTGAGCCCAGGAGTTCAAGACTAGCCTGGATAACATAGCAAAATCCCATTTTGAAAAATTATCAGGGTATGGTGGAGTGAACCTGGGATTCCAGCTACTTGGAGGTCTGAGGCAGGAGGATCAGTTGTCTGGGAGGTTGAGGCTGTAGTGAGCCATGTTCACGCCACGGCATTCCAGCCTGGGTAACAAAGGGAGACCCTGTCTCAATAAAAAAAAGTATCTTATCATTCAGTCTCAAAAACCATTTGCCACTGATCTATACCATAAGACTTAGAAGACCTTAACACATTACGTAATGCAGAAATTAATCTCTCTCTCTCTCTCTCTCTCTCTCTCTCTCTCTCTCTCTCTCTCTCTCTCATGTGTGTGTGTGTATGTGTGTGTGTGTGTAACCTGAATTAGGGACAAGATTGAGACACAGGTCTGTGTGACTTCAAAGCTATCACGCTTTCCATTATAAAACACTGCTTTTTAAATGTAATACTATCATGTAGTGATTTCACATTTCTGAGTTGTTAATATAGTAGTTTCAACATTATGTTGACTTTTGATTACATTCACTAAAGGAGGTAAATATTGCTACACATAACATGAAAGATGGAACAGAAAACTGGGGTGGTGGAAGAGGGTGGTAATAACCAGCCTTCTCTGAATGGTTCACAGAGAAGGGAATAGAGAAACATGCAATTTGTGCAGTGAAATTTGAAACACCTTTTGTAAGTCAACAAAAGCAAGTTTCTCAAGGCTCAAAAAAGAGAGCTCACCAAGTTTCTTATAATAAACTCATGTTACAACCAACATATCCGTGTATACCAAGTCAGCAAGCATGTCCATGTATACCAGGCAGCAAAAGAAAATGGAAAAATCACTAGCCTTTTAGAAAAAAGAAAGAGTTATAATTCTGGTTTATTTCTTTATTAACAAGTGATCTGTCAGTTTACTCCGCTACGTGTGAAGATGGACCACTAACTCATTATGTGGCTTTAGGCAAAGATGTTCTTTATCTACATCCTCAAATACTGAATGAATTTAATACTTGCCCCACTGACTTCCAAGGTGAGGCCACCAAGTGCCAGATACTGTACTAAGTGTCTTAGACACAAATCTCATTTTATCCCTCCAAGATGCCCATGAAGTTAGTGCCATTAATTAATGCCACTTTACAGACAAGGAAAATAGGGCTTCAGAAAAATAGATTCTCTGATGACAGAGATGAAAAAGTTCTTTGAATAATATAAAATGCTATACAAAAATAATGTAATTATAGCCATTTTAAATAGGAAGAAGTGAAGCATGCATGTGTAGAAAAAAATGTCAGCTGTAGTTAATATCTCAGTAAGACCCCACAATATAACTCATATAATAAAACAAAACGTTTAGTTAGAGCTTATATATGCCAACGACAGGTCTTACATAGTATTTATGTCTGCACTTTTAGTCATTAATCTTCAAATGACCCTGTGAAGCACGTACTATTATTATCCCCACTTCATAGCTAAAGAAACACAGAAACAGAAAGAACAAGAGACTTGTTCCAGGTAACAGCTAGTAAATGGCAGAGCTGGGACTAGAACCCAGGACGTCTGGTTTTTAAACCTGCCTTTTCATCTAACACTACTTCTGTGAAGCAGGCTGGAAAGGGTGCAAGTCAATTAACTATTTATTCAACAGGCTCAGAGAACAAATAGCTGCATTATTTTTCATCATGCCGAAGCCTCTGGGCTCTGCTGGTTTGGTCCTCATGATGTTCTGTAAAAAGCAATCAGAGTTTCAAATGGCAGCTCAGCCAACCCTGTTCTTTCTCCAAGACCTCTTCAAGGTTCTGTTTCCCATTCATAAATTAGGAGAAGAATACTTATTCATCAAAGATTTAGTGAGGATCAAATGCATTCAGCACAAATCTCGGCACAGAAATGGCTGGCACTCAGTAAACATTAGTCTGCTTCTTTTTTTGGCCTCAAACATGGTGTCAATATAAATAATTTATTCTCCCAGAAACTAGGAAGAGATAAGAGAAAGGCTCCAGGTCATGAAATATCAGCTTTTAAATTAACTGTATATTGTCCTGAGTCATGAAATAATGTACTTTTGTGAAAATAATGTTATCCTGAGTATTTATAAATAGTGATTTTTTCCCCTAAAACATTGAGTATACTTGTATCGATTTCTCAGATGTGAATGTATGTGATTTGATAGACTAGTGGACTGATCTGGTTTGGCAGTTCCTGGGTCAAATCTGTTTTTCTGTTTTTCTTGTGTGTGTGTGTGTTTGAGATGGAGTTTTGCAACTGTTGCCCAGGCTGGAGTGCAATGGCGGGATCTTGGCTCACTGCAACCTCCGCCTCCCGGGTTCAAGTGATTCTCCTGTCTTAGCCACCCAAGTAGCTGGGATTACAGGCATGTGCCATTACACCCAGCTAATTTTGTATTTTTAGTAGAGATGGAGTTTCACCATTGTGGCCAGGCTGGTCTTGAACTCCTGACCTCAGGTAATCTGCACACCTTGGCCTCCCAAAGTGCTGGCATTACAGGTGTGAGTCACCACACCCCCTGGATCAAATCTTTGCTTGCTCATGCCACAGGTCTGCCAAAGCAAGTGTTATCACTAAGTAGTATATTAATCAGGTTGGAAGGCAAGATACTTACAGTCTGCTAAGAAAGAGCATGAAAATATTTAAAAGCACGTGAGTGTTTCATATTGTTAATTGTGTCCAAATTTTGGTAGGGTGCATATTTTAAATGTATTATGTGTTTGAACTTTGGAGGGTCCCATGGCCTCATTTTTAAATCATATTTTAATTGTTCCTGAAATACAACAAAACTAAGCAGATGATCATCTTGGTATGTTGATTCAAGAGAATTGTTATTCTTTATAGAGTGGTTCTGCTGTTTACAAACAAAATAAAATATTTACGTTTCTAAGAGTTTTCATATTACAAAGGCTCTTTAATCCCCTAATGTGAGAGTGTTTAATTAGAATTAATAAAATTAGCTTAATTGATTTAAAAAATTTGTAATTTTCTGTCC